AGAACTTTTATGATATCAAAAATTTTCAAATATAATAAGTAAATTGACTAAATCTATATATTTATAGTGTATATTATATTTTAAGTATACTGATACTTAGATAACAAATTTTAGCTCATAATATTAAGTTTTTACTATAAACATTTGTTGCGTTTTTCAAATAATCATAAAATATAATATTACATAAATATATTTATGTCCCTTTTTATATGGTATATATACATACAACATATATATATATATACCATGTAATATTAGTTTGATAATTTATGAAAATTTATTTCAATGTCCTTTTCTTTATAATCTCTTTAACAACTCTTGATTATTTTTGAACAATATCCTATACATACATACATACATAATATATAGATGTATAAAAATCAAATTTTCAAATTACACTTTTATTTTCATTGAAGGGGATGGATTTTGTATTGAATGTAAAATAAATGCTTAAAAAAGGACATCATAGTAGAAATTTTTGAAAATTTTTCCATTGTATATTTATTATGTATGTATGTATGTATTTTGTACTATATTAATGTAATTTTTTATTATCCTTGTTGTTATTTAATGCGGCATGTTGAATTAATTGTCATAAAGATACCAAAAGAAAAATATACAAAATGGGAAAAGGGAAAACGAAAAAAAATAAAATACTCGTAATAAGAAGTCGAAATAAATTTGAAAATCTAATTTTTTCATTTTAATTTTTTTTTTTTTTTTGTTGGTCGTCTAAAAATAAAAACAATAAAAGATCGACTGAAAAACAAAATCAAATGTAATAATAAAATGAAATTATTTCTCTGAAATCATCCCTCCATTTCTACCTCATCCAAATTTTGATTTCCTTTACCAAAAAGAAAAAAAAAACACAAATTTGAAAAACCGAAAAAAAAAAAATAAAAACATTTTATGATTCGTTGAACAGAATTTCTGCAATGCTGTGCAATTAACTGTAAAATAATATACAAATCAGAAAAAAAAAATAACGTCTCTTAAAATTGACGACGATGACAATTTATACAAAAAAAAATACATACATACATTACATAAAAATCAGCAAGGAATCAAAATCAAAATGCAACATAAGGTATTCAACATTATTACTCACTGAAAAAAAAAGCGATTAACTTCAAAATAAATAGTTTTTGAAAAAAATGTTTAAAATCGCTTTGAAATCCATCGATTCTTTTTGGTAAAATGTGTATTCTATGGAATTTTTTTATTGCCAAAAAACTGTACTCGTCTTAAATCATAATCACGTCACAATTTGTTAATTTTTACTGGATTTTAAGCAAAAATTTTGATTGAGATTTCTTTTAGGTACACCGAGTTAATAAAATTCGTTTCAAATAAGTAGAGCTACAAATCGGGATTTTACTTTTTAAAAACTGTATTTGGTCACTAACTTCGGAATTTGGAATAAATTCCATATTTTACTTGTAACCGCCGATTAATAAGAACAAATGATTGCTTTTCAATATGAGTGCTATTTCAATGAGTGATATTACACTAACATTATAGTGACATTCCAAAATATTGCATAAATGAGTAACAACCCAATATCGTTTTGCATCATAATAGTTTCTAATCTTGCTAGGGAAAAACGACATTTTTTCCAAGCCGAAAAATTCCTATTTATATCACAAAAATGGCATATCTTAAGTTAAGACAGAAATTAATTTTGTGATACAATATTGCTTATAAAATATTTTTACAAAATTGTATTACAATTATACCAGTCACTATTTCTATAATTGTATACAAATACATAAATTGAGGGTCGATATACATACAAATGATTTTCTTTTGATAATGAAGCCAACAACAAGGATAACAACCAAGAAAACAGCATTTATACTCAGATATATAAGATATGTAAGTATAGCAGTAGTAAAAATATAAAAATCTAATTTGATAACTCATGCAATTTATGCTTCTATCTTTTTTATATACTTAATTTTATTTTATTAGATTTTATATTACAAGACAAAAATAAAAATACAAAAAAAAAATAATTCCTTTTGAAGGATAATACATTTTAATCCTTATTATAAGGAAAAAATTATATGGGAAATGCTTTTTTTTTTTTTTTGATTTGACAAGCAATTACTTTCTTTACCCAAATGTATAACAATTAATTTACTATATAATAATATGAACGCATAACACATAACATTATTATATAGACGTTGTCTTCTTATTAATATAATGAGATATGCATCCTTTAAAGAGGGTGAAAATTTCACTTTCATATAATGGTAAAAATATCCTAATTTCTAACAAACATTTTTTTTTCAAATTCTTATAATTTTTTTTTGAGTTTAAAAAGGGATTTGGTTACACTTATTATGTATACATTTTATAGGCTATATTTCATAGACTTCATCAAATTAATATTGTGATGCAATTATTTTATAAAACGTAACTAAGAAAAAAAGGTTTCAATATTTATTGATGCAAACAATATTATTTTATTAAGTTTATAAGTATATTATAAAACATTTCATTAAGATCAAAGAAATTTTCATTTGAAAAAGATTGAAAAATATGATATCAAAGTTGAAATTTAGGAAAAAATTATTTTATAAAATGTAAGGAAATATAAAATGGTTATCTAAATTAGAAGTGTGTATAACCTTCTCTAGATTAAATTTATTATAAACCATATTATTATATGGGAAATTATCTATCGTTTCCTTAGTAAATAATCTTTGTGTATTGTTATATGACATGCATTAATAAATTCATCATCAATCTATGTAAAACTCAATTAATTTGATGACTCATAATAAATAGTAATTTAAAAAGATTTACCAAATATTGTCTATGATTAGCATCTACAACCTATGCAGTGTATACGTTCCCATCTATACACCCTCTGCTGTGTAGTTTTGGTTACTGCATTTAAATGTAAAATCTACAAAATTTTCTACGGAAACCAATCTTTTTAACTTAAATTTTATGAATTAATACCAACTAATTGTTAAAATATTGAGTTACAAAAATTTTAATATTGTAACTTGATATTTAATATATTTAAAAAAATCAGATTAAAAAAATTAAATCCCGAACCAAATGTTGAAATAAGACTTGATATTTTTGCTATTTTAAAAAATTTCACATTTTCTTTTAAAATTTTTAGTCGTACCCATCTCTAGATACCAAAAATGTCTTAACTTTCTTTGGCTTAGATAGAAATGCATGGGACCGAAGTTTTATTACGCGTTAGACTGGTTTCACGGGCAACATAGTTCTTATTAAAATGAAATCTCATTTTGTCAAAAAAAGTAATTCCGGCATTCCCAGATTCCAGCAAAATCGCTTAGATAATATTTCGACATTTCAGTACTAAATTTTTATGTAGAGGCTTTAATTCGCATTTTTGTTCAACAATGGAAGGTTTTCGCCTCTCGAAGAATCTGTTATTGACCAGTTTTACCGTAATAAAAACTCAGTTTTGAAAAAGTTATCATTAACTCGTTTAAGCGAAACAATAAATATGCTTTGGTTTCCATATGGTAAAGTAGTTTAAAAAGTAATTTTCGATTAATGAAGCATTTATATTACCCAAGCTATAATATAGACAAACATTAAATATATACGCTATACTTGAGGAAGCGAATAACAGAAAACAATTAATGCAATTAAAAATATGTACATTTTACTGGCCTTTTGATTGATGTTGATTAGTTCAGAGGTTTGAAAAGTCTAGGTTTGTTTAGAACTAGCATAAAATTTTATCTTTTGAAGGACCTATTTCCAATCATAAACCTAAAAAATTTTCATACCAAAACCATAAATTTGCTAAAACATAAATTCTAAACTAATATGCAAACTTGTAATGTCTTTGCTTTAATATCAACATGAAATGTAAATTTAAAAGCGGATTTATCCAACAAAAATCAACCGTTAAGCCACTTTGACTAAAAATTAAATTTGAAAATATAGAGTGTAGACATAGTGAAGACAAGGAGTGAATAACAACTACTGTGAACAACTATATTTTCAATAAATCATTTGTATTTATCCTCTAGCTAAGTATAACAAATTTTTGTTTTTTATTAACAATAATGTTTTGCACATTATGTAATTGAAAATTTAATTTTGTGTTCCTAATTTATTATACGCCAAATTCATTCCAATTAATATAATTTCTAAACATAAATAAGTATACATAAATCTAATGAAAATACTGAAATCACTTTAAAAGGGTTAAAATTCCCATTATTTATTTATTTGAAAAGTATTTCATAAATAACGCACTCACAACCCTTCCTTTCATTTTCCAAATATTAAGATAGGTAACACACACATCCATACATACACTTTGTTTTTACAGTATTTATTACCAAATATTTTTGAATGAAAACATTAATTATAAAAATTCATATTGTTTGTGTCAAAAAAATATATATGAAGGTACGACTCGGAATTATCCAATATTCACTTAAATCAATATTTGGCAATTATACTAAAATGTAAATATTTAAGACACTAAAATGTTTTTGAAATTTTGATATATAATATTTGATTACTTAGATGACTTAAGGGGGTTTTCCTAAAATATTGTGCACTTCTGCGAATATTATTTCAAATTCAAACTAAATATGTGAAATTTAAAAACCTCATACATACGTTATGAATAATCTAATTAAGAATGTTTCATAATGAAATCCAGTATCTAAGATATTTGTGGAAGATGTACTTTACGCAACTATTTAAAAGGTGGTTTTCGAGAATTTTTCTTTAATGATTTCTATCTGGAAAATCAAAATTTATTGCAGAAAATTCTGTAATTCTATGAAATTTACATTAAAGCAGGACCATTTTGCAAAAAAAATTATTATGTGCCTTTTGAAAGTCTCAACACCATCGTTGAGATCATCGTTTTTGTGTTGGCCTACCCACTAAATTTATTCTTAGTAAATATTAAATAAATTTTTCCTCCAAACAATACCATTAAATTAATATTTTTTAATTTTTTTTTCTATTTTCAGGTAAGTGAAAAAATATTGCTTAAAGGAAACCAAAATATATTTTATAAGCATAAAAATAATGAAGGTAAATTTGAAATTTAAAGATGTTAAAAGAGTAATATATTTCACATTAAGTAAATTATTAACATAAATTAAAAATTTATTAAGGATACAAAAGGTCACATACCTAGCTGTAATAAATTAGATAAAATGAACATTGTCACAACAATGTTCTTAGATTTCTTGGAAGGAATAAAATATTTAGTTACGATCGATAAACTACGACAATGCAATAACTAACAAAATTTGACCAAGTTCTTTGAATAATGAAAACGCATACGTTAATTTACAATTTGCCGAAAATTAAAAAATATCTCGCATTTTACCGTGTAGTCTAGATTATCAAAAAATTTTAATTAATTTTAAATAATTAAGCTTTAGTTTAGTCATTGTAAACAAAAGTTAAACGTTAACCCTTTCCACCCAATTTCCGAATAGTTTACTGGAACATATGTGTACCAGCCGGATCGATAGGGTTAATCTTTTAAATTTACTCTATTTGGTTTCCAAAGGATGCATATTGTCCAATCCCGATTTTTTTGCAAAATAAAACTGACTTGTAGGCTCATTTCCAACTGACCTTCAAGAAAACCTGATGAAAAATCTTTAATTTAAACACATTTTAAGTCTTTTAACTAGAAAATGACTCTAATATTTTCTACGAACCCCTTCTTCAAAATTAACATAACCCTCGTCTTCACAACTTGTCACCTAAATTCTAAAGGACATATTCAACTTTATCACTTCTATAATGTTATATTGTCATTAACATTTATGATTTCTCATTTCATTTTCTCATAGCACTTAATTTACACTGCATCGCATATACAGATCCCCTAAAATATATGAGTTACTTATACCGAATGAATTTAATTCGACACAGCATTTTTAATGTAACGTGAAATACGTTACGGAAAATTAATTTTACATAATATGAAAGTAATTTAAAAATCATATATCAAATTTAAAATAACTTCTCTCTAAAGCATATTCAATTATTTATACTGCAAGTATGTATGTATACGTATGTCTGTTTTTATACATCTATTATAATACGTACATACGTATATATATACATATTTTTGTAAAGAAAATAACTTTACTTCTATTCTAACCTCAAAGTGAAAACTTTTACGGCATAAAGTATAGAGAAAAATTATTATTATATTTTTACACCACTATGAAAATATTGCGGGAAATTTTAATACAAAAACTTTGAAATCACACATTTATCATACATACAAACGTACGTAAATGTTACACATAATAAAATAAAAAATTTTTTTTTTTTACTTTGAAAATTATTATAAAAAGGATGTTACGTTTAAAGTACCTAATATGTAACTAAAAAAATTTCCCTACAAATTTTTTTTTCCCTTTTTTTTTTTATTTAAATATTTTCTATGAAAAATTCAAATAGCATTTAAATTTATTATCCAATCTGTCAAGGACACCGAATACAAAAAAAAAAAAAATTTTTTTTTACCCTATTTTTTACTTGTCTTTTTATACTTTTCTCTTTCTTTTTACAAATATATACACCTACCTATACAGTATGTGGCACCACGATTTATAAAACATTAATAATCTAGGAAATTATTTAAATATCTCCCACAGTGCTGATCTTATATTCATAAATATTTATTATGATTATTTTATTTTGTTCTTATAGTTTTTTTGTTTGTTTTTAGCCCCTGATTTACATTATCCTTATACTTGTGTATATATAGTAAAAGTTAAAACCCATTTAAACCTTTATATCCTTGCCAAAACAAAAAAATTAAATATATGAAAATATTAACCACCTACACATAAAAACCATTAAAATGAAAATGAAATTTCTCAAAAAATACGTGAAATTACGTTTTGTATTGTACATTATTTAATATTCTTATGTAATGCTATGCATATATATATATATATATTATATATTGAAAATAATTTTCATAAACACGTTTTACTTATAAATACCGGTATTTAACGATATTTAAGATCATTAAGTACATAATATAACTATATAAGTAGTAGATTACACTTTAAACTAAAATTCTAAATGAGAAATACTAAATGAGAATATTTACAGTAAAAACTTTTCTTACGATAATAATAATAATCTTGACACAACGTTATCTAATTGAAAACGTGCTTTTTAATTTTAACAAATTAATTTTTTTTTTAATTTGTAATTTTGAAAGTTACTGTAATTATTTAGTAAAGTTTGATACAGATACGGAAGCGTACATGCAAATATATTTCGAATATTTCACTATCAAAATAAATTTTATTTAAATTGAAAAATTAATCTCCCGATTCTCGAAAATCTTCCTCTATTAACATCATATTTTCGTGATTAGTTCTTAGAGTTATTTTGTTATACACACAAATCAATCACAATATTCATAATGTTTCCGAAAAATTTAATTTATTGCGATAAATGGGAGATTAACAGGATCATGTGTGTTGGAAGATAATTTAAATTATATGAACATTTTGATGGTGAATCGGACAGGTACGCTAACTATCCAATTAAAAATTTTATAGGGAAGCATTGTGAAAGCTCGCAAATTTGCGAAAAAAGCCAGTTGATTAGAACAACGCTGCATAGTTAAATTTTTTTTTCTTTTTCGATTTCATATGATTTTTTTTAATAAAATTCGAGTTTTTGCTCAAAAGGTCGTGCATTTAGCATATTTGTGTTTTATCAGTTTTTGTTCTATTTCAATGTAAATAGAATGAAAAAGCACTTAGCCTTTTTCCGCAACTTTGGCCTTACCTTTAACCTATATGTATTTGTACCACGCCAATCCCGGAAAGTAATACACGTACATCACTGAAATCTGCACCACAGAAAGAGAGCCGTTCGAAATTAGTATTGGTGTAAAAAAACGCATTTTGTAAAATTTTCTAATAAGCGTATCTGTGCAGTTCACCATCGATATTTGAGTTTTATTTACATTTTTTAAATCTAGGAATTAATTTTTTAAAAACTTATTTCAATTTCCTAAGTTCTCTTTCATCAAAATAAGTTGCGAAAGTAAAATAATATTTTTAGAACATTTAATCTATGAAGGTGTACCGTGTACCTAATAATATACAACATGACAAAGATTCTATTTCTAGAGCGAATCCCGTCTTCATTACAAATTATCAAATTTTCATAAGAAAGCATTCCACTGTATAATTGAAAAATAAAAATATTATTTACCTGTTCACATACCTTTTTGCATATAATTTGTATTAAATTATATGCTTGTATTTTTATACAAAAATTATAAAGAACCTAAATATAATACAGAAGAGGAAAAAAAATTAAATTAAAATTTATTTTCAAAACATGCTCAAAAATAAAAAAAAAAAACTCAAGTAAAACTTTTACCCATTTAATGCCATAGTGTAAAATAAAATCACTGAATATTTGAATTAGATATGAAAATCCTTTTTTAATGCTCTACGGTAAGCAAAAAAACATACAAAAAGCAGAAAAATCTTTATAAAAAATATTGTGTTTGTAATCTTTTACAGATCCTTACATAACAAAATCTACACCTATACCATAATGAAATGACAAAATATTTACCCAAAAGTGTTTTTAGATTTTATGGTTGAAATTCCAACAAAGTTTAAAAGAATTCTTTTTGATATTATGCATTTCTTTTAAAAAACAGAAAAAAAAATTGAAAACAACTCTAGAACCTAAAAATATCACAAAAACTAAAGTGTAATGGTAAAAATATTGGAATGCATGTGCATCTAAAAACTGACCTAAAAACCAAATATTTTTGTTAAAATTTCAAAAAAACAAAAACAGCAAATATGCAGTCTGCGCTTATTAAATTTATCTTTATCCTTATAGTTTATAAGTAGTATTCACACAAAAAATGTATGTGTGTGCGTATGGTATGAATTTTGTATACGAAAACAGATTAACTTTTGAACATTTTCCTTTGATTTTTTTTCTTTGACTACTAACAACAAACTAAAAATTAAATCGAATAGCTTGTGGAAGGAATTTGGTAATCTCAGTTATTTTAAAAAATTTCACTTTATATACAAAAACTGGTTTATAACCCCGGTTTATCTTTATACATTTACGGTTTTTGGTTTATACCGGAATGTAGTTTAATATTTTTAGTACAAAATATGAATTTGAATGGTTTGCTATTAGATTAAATTATAATGTTGTTTAAAACTTGCATATTTTAGACTTTATTAAATTTTTACCACTTCTAACATAATTTTAATTCTTCTAAATAAAATAACTTGCACAAATAATATAACACTTATATTTTTCGACTTCAATTATATTGGGTAAAATATGTTAGTCTCAAACACATTTAACGCACGCATATTTTACTGAAAAAACTGTAAGGAAAATTTTTATTGAAAGCTAAGCCTTTAATTGACCTCTTGTAGTATTATACTCCCGAGATTTACATGATTTAAAAAAAATATTCGAAAGAAAAATCATCATTTAGATCAGCTGTATAAATTCAATCGAAAATACTATAAAATACTTAAAATAAAAACAATTTAATTATCAATTAAGGAAAAATACCTGATGCTTATACTTTATATTGAACAGCTCTGAAATTAGTACTCGTACTACTTGCTCGTATATGAAAAAAAAGTCTGGGACCAATTTTTTCAGCAGCAGCTTTAAGAATCTAAAGCAAGAATATTGTACCGTCCCAAATATCGTAATATAATTAAATCACATAAATTAACAGGATCACAGAAGCACTATGCATATTTTTAATTAAATGTACCCTTTAGCAATAAATGGAAATTTCTTGAAGAACTATTTATTAAGAAATTCATAATAATATAGAGAAAATTTTCAAAATATAAAAGAAAAAAAAAACTGTTTAGATTAATATTTGGAAATAAAATTAAATTAATATTGAATTCAAACCCATTACAGAAATTATACTAAACCAATACACATTTCCTGTATTATATATATATATATATATATATATATATATATATATATATATATATATATATATATATATATATATATATATTTCTATATTATTGAAATAGACAATCACGTATATCCAGAGTTTTCATTTCCTTTTTATATCTTAATCCCTACATTA